CCACACCACACAGATTGTCAGACATACAAGATCATGCTATCACATCGCATCTGTAAAACACATATGCCAGGGGAACGATGCACGTGCCTGGTCAGCCCGATTTCCCAGAGTCTTTTTGATGTTGCCGCTGCGCAGCTTCTCGAGGACCTGCTTCGGGTCGAATGGCACGCGGTTGGCCTTGGCGCGCCGCCTCTCGCTGTCGACGTCCACGTCGACCTTGGAACGCACGAAGAAGAACGGCTTGCGGTACTCCACTTCAATCAGGTTCGCCAGGAAGACGTCCGTACTCCTGAAGCGGCGGCAGTCCATGATGATGTAGAAGTCGAACATGGCCAACCCCACTCGCTCGGCGTATTCCTCGATTGGGAAATTGACAGTGCCGCACCCCGGAGGGTCCCAGAACTCGACCGAGGGGAAGGCGGGGTGGCGATAGACCCGTGGCTCCATCGAGCACTCCTCGATGCCCACCTGCGCGGGGAGGGTGGGGTCGTCCGACGGGGGCACCCAACCGAGCGGCCACAGATGGCCACCTTTTTGGTTACGAGCCACATCAAAATTATGTTGTCCATCCAGTTAAAATTGAACCACTTGATTTACCATTACCATTATCACAAACAAAAAACCCCAACACAACCCTACACCAACCCCACCATTACACCCCAACCTCCCATATTGGTAGCTTTGCTGACAGGTCAGTGCACACAGACTGGGCCATGCAGAAGTACACCCTCATTCTGCAACCCAACTAGTTGGGTCTTGCATGAAGCAAAGAAAGAAAGAGAAGTAGTACGTACCTTCACTGGGGTCTGGGTGATTTCCTCGATCCTGTCTTGAAAGAACTGTCCAGCGTCCCTGGCCCACTGCGCGGGGATGTGGTCGAGCACTTGCTCCAGTGACTGCATGGTGGTCGGGGCAAAGGGAAAGAAAAAGAGTTTAACTTCATTACACCGGCAGATCTGTCCAATCTCACTCTGAGGTTTTCTTCTTTCAACACTTTGAGGCGGTGGAGGTCTGCTTCTCGTGCTGGGCGACGTAGAGCCGCTTTTGAACGTCGACCGAGCTGGTCCTGCTTCATCATCTCCCGCAACAACAACGACGACGAGCCCAGCGTAAATGACACGCTCGGTAACAAGAAGCACACGGCAAGACCGCGTCGGCGTTTGCCTCTGGGACCGCCTACTGCCGCGCGACTCAGCCGCCGTTGCCCACATACTCAAAAGCTCCAGGCCCAGGCCGTGGCTAAGAGACACTGGTACCCAGGTCGACCAAGGTCGGACGAGTGCCCAGGGGGCCGAGGCGGAGGGCCAATGATCTGACTTCCAATCCCAGCCTCTTCACCAACGACGTTTTCAGATAAGGTGCTTGAAGGGGTGAAGACCACACAAAGCTAAAGTCTACCAACTTATCTTCTAGCTCCTCCTGCTCGGTCCCGGGTCCCACGCGTCTCTGGTGACGCAGTGTCAGGCCGAAGTCGTCGAATTCCGTCTTTGGAAAGTGCGGCCGCGTGAACGACGTGATGCACGCGGTTCTCGCATGTAATGGCGCTCGGCCCAATTCCTGGGCGGTTCGTCGGTTAGGTTCATGAACCGCGTGCGTCACAGCGCAACAGCGCAACACAGTTGGTGCTCACATGTACCGGAAGCGTCCGTGCCATTCCCTCATGGCCTGGCAGCAGGCCAGGGTCACGGCGCGGTGGCAATGGGCCAGCTGCGCCCACATGCGGCGGCGCGCCGCGGGGCCTCGAAAGTGCGCCTCGAGCATCGCCACGTCCCAGAGCAGCGTCATCGCACCGGCACCGTCACAGCTCAGCTGTCCAATCAATCCCCCCTCCCCCCACGCCAACGGTCAATGGTCTGCAGTGGCGGCCGAATGAGTCTCGGCGGTACCGCACCTTAACCGGGGAACCGGCTCCTCTCATGTCAAGGAACAACGGAGCATAGTAGGGCACGTCCTACACGAAGATCAACTCAGCGCTACACGACACGACACGACACGACACGACACGACACGACACGACCCGACCCGACCCGACCCGACCCGACCCGACCCGACCCGACCCGACCCGACCCGACCCGACCCGACCCGACCCGACCCGACACGACCAACGACACGACCAACGACACGACCAACGACACGACACGACACGACCAACGACACGACCAACGACACGACCAACGACACGACCAACGACACGACAACACAAACCACGATACGACTTACGACCCACGACACAATGCATGACACGCTGCAACTCGGGCGTAGGTGTTGTGGTGGTACGTACGTGGCCGAACATGTTGCTCACGAGCTGGCGCCGCTTGTCGTCGGCAAAGTCGATGCGCACCGCAAAGTGGCGCGGCCCGCCCGCCTGCGCGCTCAGCGTCCACTCCACGCCATCCCTACGCGTAAGTGGTCAGAGACAGTGACACTGGCGCCCAAGCCCACCACCACCGAGCAAAAGTTGGGGAAAGTTGGGTGCACGAACCTGACCGACAGCGACAAGGAGCGGCTGGCTCTCGATGCCGACACCGACGACGACGACGACGACGAAGAGAAGAAGCTCTCAAAGAGGCCCAACATGAGGTCGGTCCTTGCTTGGGCCAGCTTGGTAAGCGTGGTCGACGCAAAATGTTAGACCGGGAAAACAAGAAGTCGCCACGCGATCGGAGGTACTTACCTCGAAGGCGAGGGCATGGGCGTAGGGCCCCAGGCCGCCGTCTAAGTCCACGTCGGCCGCGAAGTGAAAGAACGAACAGTCGCCATCGTCGCCGCCGTTGTTGTCGTCGTTGGCTGCTCCTGCGCCTTCGTTGGGTTCATCATCGCCTTGGTATTTGCGAAGAGGGCTATTACTACAGGATCGGTGGCCTTGGCGGGCAAGGTCGGTCGCGCGTCGGCCGAAACGGAGACGCACGCCGTAGTGGAGACCGTACACATTCCGCATATAACGCGCGATTCCTCTCACCAAGCCCGCATGATGTCGCACATCTACATCTTCGTCTTCTCTAGACTCGTTCTGTTGCGATGATGCCAGTGCGTTGGTTGGCGCTTGTTCCAAACAAGCGGTGTGTTCATCACCTCGTGTGCGGACGTGATGATCGTAGTCGTTGTCGTCGTCGTCGTCGTCGAGGCCATCGTAATCGTAATCTTCTTCGTCTGGCCACACCTGTTGAAGCAGTGGAAGTCTGACAACGCGACATTAACAGGTGAGCGGTGGTGGGTTGCACGGAGAGCGAGAGGTACATGGTACCGATAGCAGACCAACAGCGTACGTCCCACGTTATGCACGCGGATGACCGTCCTCTCGAACTCGTAGAAGGTGGCCTCGCGGTTCTCTGCAGATCAAACAACAACAACAACAACAACAACAACAACAACAACAACAACAAGCTCGAGTCAGAAGATGCATATAACGGGATGATGACCCCACGCATTGCAAGGAGAAGGCGCACCGAGTGCGTAGTCGGGCTGGTCCAAGTAGCGCTGTATCAAGGCGGCCACTGCCATGTTCGGACCTGACCAGGTCCTGTCGTCGCCCGTAAACAAGTGGCCTCGTGCTGCCGAGGGAAGAAAAGAGAGAGCAGGAGGGGCGAACCGTATAACATCCCGGCGCCAAGGGGAGGCCAGGTCCTGTCGTCTCTTGCTCGCCAGACACTGCTCTCTACACGCGCGGCCATCGCCAGCCATTAATTACTGAAAGAAAATAAAAATAAAATGAAGCCAAGAAGGAATAGGGCACACGGGGGGGACAAGGACCTGAGGGTGTAGTGCTGGCTCAGGGCACGTGGCAAGAGGCAGGGGCAGAGGTCACGCCACATTGGCCAGTTGGACAGTAGGCCCAGCCACAGACGACATACGCTCGAGAGCCGGCACACCTCGCCCAACCAGAGACGTGCTTGCGCTTTGGGGCTGGGTGCGGCTTCGGGCGAAGCTGCCAGCCCACTGAAACGGGCACGCGGCACCACAAGGTACAGGATAAGCTCCTGCAGCTCGACTGCGAGCTTTTCCATCTGAACTGAACTTTTTCTGTTGTTCTTTTTGGGCCTTTGGCTGTGCCCAAATCAGTTTGCACGAAACCTGCTGAAGCGTCACGTTCGCGCCCAGCTACTTCTTCGTTCGTCACAGACAAGGTCATGATCAACCACCCTCTTTAGACATAGACCTATTTTTATTCAAATGCTAATGATGATGGTGATGAGCAAGGATCGTGACCAGGCGACTGACGCAACGGCGTGAGACCACCAACACCACGCCTTCGAACGGGTCAAGCAGAAGTGTCAACGAACAAAAAGAGTGCCCAGAGGCGTGCCGCCTTTTTTCCAGGTAAATCGCAATTTAGGAATGAGAATAGGGCAAGTTCTGGAACATTCCACGGCCACGTCACGCATTCTTCAGTGTTCCCAGCCAAGAACGAGGAAGATGGACGGGTGGGCAGAACATGGCTGCATGACCCTCTCCCGAGCCACGGGGCACATAAAAAGCCCAACGGACTGACTCGAACAGACAACCAACAAACCAACAACCAAAGCAAAGCCAGAGAGCTTCTCGACACAACACAAACAACACATCAACATGTCGACCGCTGCGCACACTGAGCCCCAGAAGTACCTCGACCCCGCCCTCACCTTCCAGCTCCTCGACCGCGTCCCCCAGCCCGAGGGCGTGGTACATTTTTCTACCCTTCTTCCCTTCATCTGCTGCGCTACAACTGCTCGAAGCACACACCCGCCGTCACATTGCAACGGTCAGTTTGCGTTTTAACATTTTTCTTACCATCT